ATTTGGAGGAAGGATGTGCAGCTTGTGTCGAGATACTAAGACAGGTCACAGCTGGGTTGGAAGGGTGCTCGCCCCTAAGCTGATCCCCAGCACCACACAAATGGGAGTAGCGGTCACACCTGTGATCCCAGCACTCAGGAGGCTGACAGGAAGATTGGGAGTTCAAGGTCATCCTGGGCTACGGAGAGGGCTTGATGCCAGCTGGGTCATTATAAGATACGATAATAAAAAGAACGAAACGTTGGATGTGAGCGAAAGGATGCAGAGGGAGCCTACTGCCTCTCAGCTCTGCTCCCTCTGCTAATTGGTGGTATTCAGCTGCAGTAGAGGGCGCTGGAAGGACCACGAAAAAGAAAGAGGGTTTTTTTGTTTTGTTTTGTTGTAACTGGGATGCGGGCTATTCAGGGCATAGCTTCCCTCTGCTTCTCTCAGGACTTCGCAACAAGCTTTCGAGCCCAGCCACTGCCCGTGCACGGCTCAAGCAGAAGCTGGAAGGGCGCAACAGGCTTGCCGGAGTTGAAGGACTGACTTCTTCCCTGGGGCTGCAGTTCGGCCTCCCTGTGGTTGGTGGCCATTGCCTAACTCTGCTAATCCTGTGGGTTTTTTTTTTGATAGCTCTCTCTTAAATTTAATTAATTTATGTATCTATTTCTGAGACAGTGTCTCACCATGTAGCCCTGGCTGACCTGGAAATCACTATGTATGCCAGGATAGCCTTGAACTCAAAGAGCTCTGCCTGTCCCTGACTCTCAAGTGTAAACACTAGAGGTGTGTGCCCCAGTACCCACATATTTAGAGAACCTTTATTCTTTAGTAGCCAACGCCTTGTTTCGAATCCCATGTCAGAGCCTTATGTTAGATGTCCCCGGTCAGACCACTGTTCTGATACCGCTTGGTTGGCCCTAGATGGCGCTGGCCCTAGATGGTCCTCTGCACAGCTTAGTGTCACAAGAACGCTAGAGAGACCCCAGGGGACAGCTCTAGACCTTAGGCTTGTCCTCCCCTGGGCTAGGGACAAGGTCTGGTAAAGAGTCTGTCAGCCCTTCTTCATGACATTACCAAAAGCAACTGTCCTGTCCTGTCCTGTCCTGTCCTGTCCCATGTCAAGAGTCCAGTCATCTCTGTGAGTTCGAGGCCAACCAGGTCTACAAAGGGAGTTCCGGGACAGTCAGTACTGTTACACAGAGAAACCCTGCCTCCAAAAAAACAAAAATCCAAAGAGAGAGGGGGGGGGATGCAGAGGAGTATCATGAGTTCCAGGCCAGCCAGGGCAGGCGGTGAGTCTCGGGGTTAAAATACTGTTTTTAAAAGGGTGTAGGAGTGTAGCTCAGCGGTAGAGTGGGACAGAGGACTGAGGTCCTGGTCTCCAACCCAGTGATGAGGGAACGGAAGGGCTGCCTCACTAATGGAGCCATGCTGAGACTCAACACTCTGTCCCAAGGAGATCACAGGGTTGTTGATGGCAGCCGCGATCCCTATTGCAGGGAACTTTGGGGAACTAGGCAGGGGGAGACATTTTGTTCCTGAAAGGAATGCGCACAGCTGTAGTCAAGATGGACTGTGATAAAGCAGCAGAGGGAAGGCCTTGAGCACTCCAACGCCTCCCCTCAAATACCAATCCATTTCTCCAGCTCCTACGTATGGACTTTGGGACCTCTGCTAATGTGGCTCAGGCAGGAAGTAGAAGCGTGCAATAGGCTTGCCCTTTCTTGCCGTGAATAAAATTGGCCTGCTATCATGTGTCCAGGCCAGGACATATCATCAGCTCTAGGACCCTCTGAGGGACCCGATGACAGGAGGCTGTGAGCCCAGCCTCTAGATGCATGCGATCCCAGACATCTTCCACCCCACAGGAGGGCTGTGCCACTAGTGTGGGTCTTGACAGCCAAAGCCCCTGCCTCTTGATACTAGACTACAGTTACAGCTGCTGGCGATACAGGAGTATGACCCTGGCTCATCTAGTCTTTGGCTCAGGTTTAGTGTCTGCACCCCATCCCAAGCTCAGACTCAGGGAACTGGGACCCAAGATATTCATCATTCTCAGGGGAGACTCCAGAGTAGACCAAGACTAGTCTTGCTGATAGACTGAGAACTAATGCCTTGCCTCAGGTCAGGGAAGGCCTTGTTGAGGTCCGTGCCCATCCACTCACTCTGTGCTGTCGCTCTGAATTTGGGCTGCTGTCATCCGCTCCTATCTCCCTGGGCCTCGACCTTGATTCTCCAAGGACAGCATCTGATGCCCCCACCAGCACCCATGTGATGCTGACCAGGTCCTCGATTTCTCAACTCCCAGTGACGTCAGCCACACTGCTGGGTGACACCCTAGCCCTGTCCTGATCTGCACCTATAACAGCTCCTGTCTCCATCTTGAGGGTCCTCTGTGGCACAGGAGTCCCACCTCTGCCCTTTCTTACTCCTGTGACCGACTTCTCCACCTGCTGGGGCTCCTTCCTTCAACACGGCACCATGTCAGAGCTCCTTACCCCTTCATGCATGCCCATTCTCCCTGCCAGCTGAGAGCCTGCGGTTTCTCTGCAAGACCTTCTCTCTGCTAGGAGCCCAACTGTCCCTCCTGGTCTGCCCTTGAGTGCTGAGGAAGCTCAGGCTGTGCTGTGCCTGCTCCAACCAGATGCTGTGTCTGGACCATCCTACACTGGGAATGTCGTGGCTCCTTTCCATTCCTGAGACTCCAGAAACGCCTGCTTTCTGCTTTCAGTCCCTCAGCTGAGTGTGTAAGTATAAAGCACTAATATCTACACATGGCTCCATCATGAAATCGCCACAGCTACACTCAGAAGCAAATTCACATGTCCATTCATGTCCCAATTGCATTTATTTGAAGGTAGAATATGGTGCGTTGTTGTCTACTGTGCTTTCCCGTCACATTATACGATCTTAATTTTCTAGTCAGCACAGAGAGACCTTTCTCCCTTTCTTACAGCTGCACAGGCCTCCATTGTTGGGTGTGCTGAGATTATTCCCAGCTGCCCCCTGATGGGCACTTTGGGAGTTTCCAGTATTTTGTTGGGACAATGGAAGTGACTGGCCCGATACCCCTGTCACTTTGCATAATTGCTGAATTACAGATCAGATAAAGTACCAGAAAGGGCATAGCTGGCTCCCAGTTACGAGATCTGCTAGGCTCACACCTGCCTCCACAGGGCTGTGCACAGATGTCCTCAGAACGGGTGCCCGACCACCTTGCCCAGAACGCTGTCATTTCTCGCGTCTTGTAAAGAGCCACAGCCCCCTTTATGCAGACCTTTCAAACTGAGCTTGGCTCAGTTCCTCCCCGAGTCCCCCAGACTCCCAGTCCTCCAGCTCCCCAAGGCCTTCCTCACCTCTGGGAGTAGTGCCTCTGCCCACAGGATGATGAATTGCTTATAATACAGAGCTAACCCATCTCTGTCCACAGTCAGCGCCCTCCCTACCCCACCTCTCTCCCCTGGGGAACTCAGCGGGTCTTCTCTGTCTCCCAATCTCAAGACAGCAGCCTTTGAAACTCTCTGCTCGGAATGAACTTGGCCTGGCCTGTCTCTCACTGCTTTCTAGCCTGTTCCAACCCCCTCCTGGGCCTGCTCGCACCCCCAAGTCCCCCCACCTTCTCCCTCCAGTCTGACTTGTCCCAGCTCCCATCTGCCGGCTTTTGTCCAAGTTGTGCTTAGCCCAGGTCTGCGCCTCAAATCTGGGATCTCAGCCAACCGTCTTCTCTTTAGCCAGTTCCCCATAAAACCACAGCTAGAGGCGCCCCCTTGGTCCCTCCTGCGTCACCTCCACGGCACCCTGTTGCATTTCGCTCTCATCTATTTTCTCACTTGGTGTTTGTGGGGCCTCTGAAAACAGGGGGCATCAAGGAAATGAGCCCTTCGGTGCAAACCCTGGTGGATGAATAACTCTGCTTCCAGTGGCAGAGATGACATCAGGTGGTGACCTCTCCCCTGTGTCAGAGTGCTGGCCTGCTGGCCTGCTGTACAGAGCTTCTGCCCCCAAGCCCGGTGACTCACTTCCCCTCTCTGGGACAAATCCTGCTTTTCGTGAGATTTTCCCGGAGAAGTGACTGGGGTAGAACTCAGGTGGCAGTTAGGTTGGTAACGAGGTGCACCTTATCCTCACCGAGCGCCAGGGACCACTGTGGTCACACAGGCACTGTTATCCTCCACTCGGCACCCTGGCACTTCGGGGCTCAGTGTACTCTGTGTGACCCTCTGACCCAGTTAATGTCCCCTTATCTTCATCCTAGCGGGGAAGTCCCAGGTAAGATAGGAATGTCCTGACCCCAATTCCCTGGGCTCTGTGAAGGAGGCTCAAACCAGCACAAGATGGCAGCCAGTGGCAAGCAGTGAGGGATCCTGCCCCAGCTGTCCTGTCCTTTGGATCTCCTGCCAGCCTGTCTCCCCACTTTATGGTGGGATTCATCCCATCCCCATCCCATGAAATTCTGCAGCAACACATGTGCACACACGTGCGAGCTCACACACACACACACACACACCCCTCTATGGGGGGGCACCAACTCATCACTACCCCCTAAATAATTCCTGAACTTTGTGGAGTGGGCTTGTTATGTCCCTTTTTCCCCCTAGAGACTCAGCTCTGACCCAAATTCTAGATCAGAACTGGGGTGCAGAGGTAGTGGCCATCATGCCCTTCCAGCCGTGCACAAACCAGGACCTTGGTGTTCACTCGAGTCCAAGCATGGAGCTAACATGATGGCAGCTCACACCTCACCTTTCCAATGACCTTCCATACCCCCATCCTCAAGGTGACTAGTTCCAACTTATCGGCGAAGAGACAGGGAGTGGTGAAGGACTAGGCTTAGGTTCATGCAAGGGTGCAGACATTCTCGTGGTTGGACCACGAGAGCTGGGAAGCCAGGACTCTAACTATGAACCAGAACTAGAGAAGAGAGGGCTTGCAGCCAACAGGAGGGTGAAGAAGCTACTAGAGCCACCCTAACCCCTCCCCCAATTTTGCAATTCTCCAAATAAACCACTCTACGGTCACTTTTGAAAACAGTTTTATATCAAGCTATATAAAAAAAACCACCGTAAATTCTGTCCTGAGTACATGCATACAAAATCAATACTATAAATATAATATTAAAAATAGTAATGTCATCAAACAAGCTAACATCTACAAAAATATGAAGGCCTTTGTGCATTGCTTATACTAGCCAGTTCCTGGCCAGTTTTGTAAGGCAAGTACCTGGGAAAGGGGACAAATCTGGAGGAAGGACTTCAAATCCTAGCCTTAAACCATGAGGAATAATCAAGGCTGGCTCAGTGCTGAGAAGGGCTTTCATGCCAGAGAGGAGAAGGGTCTATGGAGTAGCAGGTGCTTGATGGGAAACCGAGTTTCTGGTTTCCAGGGGTCAACCCTGTGGGACCCACTGACCCCCAAAGCCAATGACTATTGGATGACATGGCAAACAGGAATTAAATTGGCAGCTGGACTCAAGGCTGCTAATGAGTCTCCAGGCAGATTCAGTGCAATCACGGGGTCCTAAACACAGCAGTATTGGAAGCAGGAGACACCGCAGTGGCATGAGGGAAATAGTAAGTGTTCCTGGCTCTGAAGGTACAAGGGTCTCGGATAAGAGATGTGGGTAGCCTCTAAAAACTGGGAAAGCCCAGGAAATGATTCTTCCCTGGCGCCTCTAGAAGCAATGGGCCCTGACCACACTTAGACTACAATCCTGTGTCACACCTCACTGTTTGCAGAACTGGTTCAAACCCACTCGATGCGTGAAAATGTGGTACAGGGTCAACAGGAAGCTTATCATGCACCTGTAGACTCCGTGTTCCTGTCCAGACTTCACAGGGTGGACCTACAGAGGTACTTGTTCCTATGTGGGGGACGGCACAACCTGAGAGAACCGAGGAGGTCCTGGGCTCTACCAAGACCATCTGGGTCACTCCCCAAACATACACACACACAGGGGCAGCCTATGGGGAGTGAAGAAGCGGGCCCTCCCGGCTGAGTGGCACCAGGAGCTACTTGCAGGGTCAGGGGCCACTATGGAAGTGGTTCTGATGCTGGCTCTGCCACAGCATTTCACGAGTCTCCTTCCAGGCTCCAGATGCAGAGATTATCTTTTCCTTTTTCCTGTGTTTTCAGCTCTATCTCATTGCAGCCCATGGGCTGAAGGAAGCAGGATGAGGCTTTATCACTGGTCCTACTCGGAGCCACCCAAGGAGGGGCCATGAGGAGACAGACTGCCCAAGATGAACCATCATTTACGAGAAATTTCTTGTGTGCTCACAGGTTAATTTCCCACAGTGGGTTCTGGGCCCCACTGGACAGGGGTATGCTTAATCCTGGCTGCCAGGTCTTGTTCCAGAGTCAGGGCTAGGCAGGAGCAGCAGCAGAACGAGGGAGGTCGGCGGTGGGTCACGGTGCCATGAATCATCCCTAACTGGGGTGGTGCCTGGTGTCCGCTGTGTGCTCCCCAGCACATCAGACATTTGGAAAAGCTAACCAACTTTTATAAGTGAAAACAGGGGCCTGGAAGGCTCCTGCACCTCTGTGTTGATATCCAGTATATTCCGGATGCTCTTGACTTCACTGCTTAGTAGATTTCCTTTGATGGCCAGGATGGCGTTCAGGTGGCCTTTGCTGGCAAAGAGAGCACCCTGTCAGCCCCACTGGTCATAACCAGCCCTGCACACAGTCCTTGCTGGCCCCCCTAACTCCAGGCCCTGATATAGAACCTGCAGTCAGTTACTCTGCCCAGTAGCTGACCTGTCCTCTCTACCTCCTCCACTCCCCATTCCATCAGATCTTTGTATCTCTCCTCACACCCTTGAGGTGGCTGTCTTCTTCCCATCTAAAGTTTCAACTAAACATTACCTCTCTAGATGGCTTTGTCCTCTCTGATCAGCTCCCCCCCCCCCGGGAGTTCTGGTGGTTCAACTCTACAACCTGGAATTTTCTCTTTCTGCCTCATTACCTCACCATGGTTAACCCTCGCCAGACTGTAAGCTATAGGAAGAGGACTGAGACCCAGCTCACCCTGTGCTTCGCTGTATCCCAGAACAAGGCACAGCACAGATAGAGTCCAGTGACTGTAGCTGGGAACCCGGGAGAGAAGTTTGAGTGGTGGGGTCAGTGCACAGCTGGGTAAGCAGACAGGTGGGTTGGTGAGGAAGTAGAAGGATGAAGGGTGGATTATGACAGACGGATGAGTCGGTGAACAAACGGACAGACAACTGGAATGATGGGATGGGCCAATAGAAGAGTGGAGAGGCGGGTAAGCGTAAGGACAGATGGATAACTGCACGGGAAGGTGGGTAGACAGGTAGATGGATAGATATGTGATGGACAGAAGAGTGGGTAAATACAAAGAACAGATGAGTCAGTCGAGGTGGATGAGCTTATGTGCGTATAGATCAAAATATGCAGATAGATGATTGAATAGGTGTAGTGGGTCAGCCACTGACTAGACTAGGCTAAGCTACGTCAACCCCAGGCAAGACCAATTCAAACTTTCCCATCAGAGGACACAGCCTAGGAAGGAACACTGTCCATGGTTGACTGCATTCTCAGATAGGTCCTTAGCAGGAACAGGAGGGTACAAGACACAAGCTCATGCTCCCAAGTCATCCCCAGACTGAGCGTCAGACATTACGATCCCACCTTGGTAGAACCTTAGCAATTGAGGGGGTCATGAAGGGGACTCTCGTCCCAGCATGCTCAGAGCATAGTGGGACCTGGCAGGGACAAACCAGCTACTCAGTTCCCGAGAGCCTCTAGTGCTCACCTGAAGTCAGGGTACAAGGTGGCATATGTGGCCACCTCAATCTTAATGGCATTGGCATCTTGCAGGTGGATAATCTCAGCGATCTTAGGGAGGGCCTGGTTCAGCCAGGTTGCGGTGGAGCCCTGGAGGCAGAGGGATGGTTGGAGGATGATAGATATCCCTTTCCCCCAGGGGTACTAAGAAAACAGTAGCTGGCCAGGCTTGGTGAGGCTGCAGGGCCATTCAGGGGTGCCAGGGTGGGGGTGAGATGTGCTCACATTCTGAGTGCAGAAACGCTGGATGACGTCAGCGTTGGCCAGGATGTGCCTTGCCAGCTGCTGCTGCTGCTCCTCAGTCTTGAGGACCAGGCGCCGTTTGCTGAGCCGGATGATGTACTCCTTCACCAGGTGCAGATGCACAGCCTCCATGAGCTCCTGGGCAGGCAGAAGCCAGGAGAGGTGAGCCAACCACTGGCACCTACCCAGAGGGCTAAAGCTTCCAAGGCAAAAAACTCAGGAATGCATAGAGACAAAAGTGTGAGCACGGGGGCCTGCATTTCCCGTGTGCATGTGTAAACACAAGTGTGTGTGGGGGGGTATAAATACTGTTAGTTAGTGTGGGTGTCCAGACTGCACCAATCCCCAGGTCCATTCCTGAGGATTTCCTCACCTCCCGGAAACAGTCCTTCAGTTCTGAGAACTCAGGCAGCCTGACGCCCACAGCAGCGATGATTTCCTCCAGGGTCTCAACCGGCGTTGCCCAGCGGGTCTGTGTGAACTTCTTGAACAGTGGCTGGGGCAGGCAAGAGGCAGGATGTCTGGTCACGCACAGAAAGGAAGGGCAGCCAGGCGCAGACACCCTCACATAGACACTCATGACCACAGGCTCCCAAGGGCTTTCCAGGAGCTGGCTAACTTTGAGGTCCCTGCTCCAGATCGGAAGCAGAGGTAGTCTGTGTGTACCTCTCCAAGGTCACACAGCTGTGAGTGGGGAGAGCCAGGACAGCCTGTCTGCAGCCCTGCACTCTTTTCTACTGCCTCTCTCTTAAACAAATAAATTCCTGCATAAACAAGGCCTTGTGCTTCGCAGAGCTGAGCTCTGTGCCAGGTCATCCGGGGTCACCCCACACCCACTGGCTGTCTTTTATACCTCCAGTCCTGAAGTTGAGCAGGGAACCTCTTCCCTGCTTTCTGAGGGGCACCCAGGGCATGGAATTCAGTTTTCAAGGGTCCTGAGCCCCAGGAACTGGGAGCCAGAAATGGTGGGGGCGGGAGTGGAAGATGAATCTTCTCTAGATGTTCCTAGTTCTGTGGCCCTTCCAGGTCAAGGCAAAGCCAGGATGTGCGGTGGGTCAGCTGGAGAGCATGTTAGGGCCCCACCACTTGGACGTCTCCAGAAACACTGCACCTCCCCATCTGTACTGCCCACAGGTCTGAGGTGGGGTCTTCTACTACCCCTTCACTGATTTCCCTCCTGTCCCAGGCTTCAGGATGTGCCCCAGAATGAACCTCCCGATACCTTCAGGTCTAAAAACAGGCTCTGGAGCAAGGTGTCGAAGCCATGAGCCTTAAGATCTTTCAAGGGATCCATCAGGTACCTCAGGGAATCCTGAGGAATCTGCCACGTCTGCTCCATAGATGTCCTGGAGAGTGAACGGAAGGGGTCATGACAGCCTGCCCAGCCTCTAACACCAAGATCCTTGGCCTAGTTTTTCTGAATTAGCTCCTTGCTCTAGGACCCTCCGTAGCTCTCCACTCCCTGTGGGATCTAGTCCAAGCTTTCCCATGGATGCCCATGCCCCAGGCACACCCTTCCGCCTTTGGGAAGTCTCTAGCTCTCCACCCTTAGTCTGCCTTCTGCTTCACAATTTTATTATAAAGCTAAACTCATAAATAAATCAATTGCATCCTGCTGACTCCACCTCTCAGCTGTGGCTGTGCCAGGCCCTGTCATTTCCTCACAGCCTTGTGACCCTTAATTCCCCTTCTGGGCTCCACCTCCCATGTGCCCTCCTTCCATCAGGCAGATCTGCCCAGTACTCTCACCAGAAGGACAGGCAGTTGTTGATGTTGGCAATGATGTTGGCCCTATAATTTCTCAACAGTTTGCTTTTCTCTAAAAATTCGTCAAAGGTGCGCTGGTAACTGAAAACCAGAAGGGGCACATTTAGGACCAGTTCAAACACTGGGACAATAGAAGCCACTCCTCTCTGTCTGTGGGCTGCTGATCTCCCCGGGATTAAGGGAGGGACCATAAGCTCCTAAACATCATATTACAAGCTGTAAAAACTGAGGTCATTTGGGCTCCAAAGAAAGAGCTGCCTGACTCTGGGGTCCCCATTCTTTCCCCAGGCCCCTCTTCTTCCCCAGCCCCCTCTGTCACCGGGACGCCTAAGGGTGGGGAGGAAACGAAGTTAATTCAGAGGACATCATGGGAAGGAGCAGCAGGGTCTCCGTGCCTCATGGCGTATCTTCTTCTAAACCACAAACTGCTCTGTTAGGGAGCTCTGCTGATGACAAAGTCAGGGAACACCAACTCCCTGTGGAGGTCACCCCACCCGAGGTTCTCGGTGCTCTGGATTGGGGCAGGACAGAAGACCTGGGCTATAGCTGACATCCTAAGCACAAAGAGAGCCGTGGCTCCAGCGGTGCTGGGGTCCTGTGTGCTGCACACACACACACACACACACACACACACACACACACACACCTCCTCAGCAGGGCAGCCAGCTCCACCAGTAGCAACTGCTTTATCTGTAGCCCCACGTCAGAGGTGATGTTCTCAGCCTTGACCTGGCTTTGTGAGATGATCTGCAAGGAGCGGCAGGTAAGTATAGCAGGTACCCTCTGGACTGGGACGGGGGAGGGGCAGAACACGGGAGGGAGGTGCATGCTGGAACACGGGGCCCATCAGAGGTGAGCTGTGGCTGCTCTGTGCGTCTGAGGGGCAGTTGGGGTACCTGGTACCTGGATGATGTCGATTGTCAGTTCACTGTGGTAGTGGCCATCCAGGCTCTGGGGAGCCACATCCCGGGCCCAGCGCTGAGACTCTAGCTCTAAAGCACGGGTCATCAGTAACTTCACGTTGGTCTAGGAGAAAAGACGCAGGTCACAGTGGCACTAAACCTGTCACTAAGCTCACGCAGAAGTGTCTGTCTCCACGCTGCCCTCTCTTGCCCCGCCTCCAGCATTTGAACTCACCACCTCATTGGACAGGAACACAGCCTCCAACAACCTGATCTGCTTAGCGGGCAGGAGGCTCCCAAGCCTGATATCTTGTAGCTCCGTTGCCAATTTAGGGCTGTTCAGAATATCACTGTAGGCAGAGAGACGCAAGCATGAGGAGTGCAACAGTGCCAGCCTGGCAGCTTAGTCCACGGACTCTGCAGCCGCAGACATTGTTGCATCTTCTGCCCCTCTCCCTCCCCATGTCAGACCATACTCAGTTGAGTTCAGGCTGGAGTCATCCTGCCTCTCCTTACCACCCCTACCCACTCCTCCTGCTCTAAACCAGTTCCCCAGTCCTCCTGCCCTGAACCCTACCCAGCCCCATCCTCACCTGCCCAGCTCACTGAGAAATCTTCCTTTCCCCTGCTTCTGCCCTGGCCACCAACAGTGTCTTCACCCCTAGAGCCAGCTTTCAAGTCTGATCTGTCTACCAGGCTTCCTCGCTTGCACAGATGCAACACAGCTTCTGGCCCCCTGCCTGTCAAGCCAGCCCAGCACTCCCATCAGGTCAGCCTTGTGGCTGGACAGGAAGGGCTGCCCTGGAACTGCTCTATAGAACTCTCTTGGTGCCTCAAGTGGCCGCAGAGTTTCCAGGGAACCTGCCCAGCCCTGGCATTGCCTAAGGCCCTTTGTTTGCCTGGAACATGCATGCTTCATCTAGTTTGCATGCACGTGAGCCGCACTTTGGTTAGGGTTAGGGTTAGGCCTCAACATGCCTCCGTTGGGCTCCATGTTCAGGCTAGCCTTAGCTTCCTGCCTTGCAGCTAGCTGTGCCCAAGTTAGGAGACCCCAAAGTATCACAGGGGCAGGAAGGTGACCAGGCAGAGAGTGTGAGTGCCTGGCATTTCCTGGTGAGTCAGGACAAACCAGCAGGAACTAGATCAGAGCCCAGCTGTCTGTGGAGGTCCCTGCCTGTTTTTCCCATATCCTGCTGGCTCTTCACCTATCACCCTGCTGTGCCCTTTCTCTGGCTCTCCCACAGGAGGCTGGCTCAGCACCTGGCAAGCTGCTCACACACTGCTCACAGGGTCGGTACCCCGAGTCTTCCCTCCTGTAGACTTTACACTCAGGTCTGAGGAGTCAGTACGAATCCCTGGTCTCTAGTGCTATGGACATTTCCACCCTGTAACACAAGTCTCTCCCTCAGCTGGTATGATTGGCAGGCACATTCTGGGCCAATCAAAGGATGCCGAGACTGGCCCAGCTGAGTACCAATTGCCCACCTTTGGCACAGTCAGCCTCTCATCTGAGGTGCTCCAGATCTCAATGGCCTCCCACGGAGATCTCTGTCTATCTGACAGAGAGTCCCCAAGAGGGACACCTAGTGCCACTCCACTGTAGCGAGCTCTCTTGCTTGGGGTTGTTAAGACACAGCTCGGTTCCCAGAATGTCACTTCTCTTGCCTGGAAAACCACCCTCCCTACCACTTCTTCTTTGTATGTTCTGTCCCCTCCCTGCCTGACAGTACATCCATTAAAGTGTGAACTGACTCAATACATAAGACTCCCTGACTCCCCCAGATCTGATCTCCTCTCAAGTCTTGTGCTCTGGCCTCCTCCGTGTCCAGCTGCGTCTGTCACAGCCCCTCCCTGTTTCATCCCTGTTCAGATTGGGAACCTCCTTGAGAAAGAATGACCAAGTCCCCTTTTCTGTGCCTCCCTTTCCCCGATTGCAGAAGTGGCAAAGGTCCAGGAAACTGAAGTGCAAAGCCGCTGGGTACAAGTCCCAACTCTCTCCTTTCAACCCAACACTGGCTTTCCCATCAACAATGTCCGCCTCTGGTGTCTCAGCACCCCTTCCGCAGAAGAGACCCATCCCACCCACTGGCAAAGCTCACTTGGGGTAGAAGTTCTGCACCCAGAGCAGCAGCAAGTAGGTGTCCCTCTCACACAGCTCGAATTGCGCCAAGGTGCACAGGTGGGCCGCGAAGTGCTCGTGGTAGCTCTTGGCATAGGTGTGCACAACGTTGAACTCAGGGGGGAACAACGGTTTCAGCCGCTCCACCACCACCTCCAGGTCCTCCTTGATGGTGCGGCCCATGTGCAGGAACCTGTTCTCGGCCTCCGAGCGGCCCTCGGGCACCGCGGCTGGCTGTGCGTCCAGACGCTCAGCCGCCACCTCCGCCACTCCACCCTTCCACAGTTGCAGCCAGCGCCGCGGGCGAGTAACCGCCAGCACCGCCACCGCGGGTGCCGTGGCCACCCGAAGGTCCTCCAGCTCCTGCTGTGATACCACCTCCAGTGCCTGGCGCAGCCGCTCGGGCGGCGCCTCCAGCGGCCGCCGCAGCACCCCGAGCACCTGGTCACGCAGCAGCAAGTACAGCGCCTCCACCTTGCTCTGCTGACGCACCAGCTCCTCGTCACTTGTGCCACCCGCAGTTGCCTCAGCCTCCAGCTCCCGCTCCAATGCCAGCACCCGCCACGCGGTCTCCAGCCGCCCACTCTCCAGGGCCTCCTTGACCTCCTCCACTGCAGTGTAGAAACCCGCGTTTAGGCCCGAGGCAAGAGGAGGCTGATATCCCAGAGAGGAGGCCAAGGTCCCCGACAAGACCGGGGCAGAGAACCCCATCTCCTAGACTGGTGATTCGTCTAGCTATCTCACCTGGCTGAGGGGCTTATGACCCCCCTACCCTTCCCAAATTTGCACCGGCTCTTCCGTGCTACTCCAGCTACCCCCACAGCCTACCTGTGGGCGGCGGACCATCTAGCTCAGGCCTGGACTTGGGCTGGACCTCAGGATCTGATAATCTGGGCTGGCTCTTTTTCTTCTTCTTCCCTTTGGTGAAGACACTGAACATGTTGGCCAGTCCTTTGGACTTCTTCTTTTCCTTCTTTGCAGACTCTTCTTCCTCCCCATCTGGAGCCATCCCAGTATGCTGGGATGGCATCAGATCCTCAGAGGAAGCTTCTGACATGGAGGCCTCTGATTCTGCCTCAGATGTGGAACGTGACTTTTGGGGGCTTCCAGGGAAGTCCAGGGTCCCCGGCACAGACTTTTGGCCAGGAAGCCCTTGGAAGAAAGTCACCATCTTCAGCATTGCCCTGGCTCAGGCCTGCAGATTGGAAAACAAAGCCTTCAGAGATGGTCCCCAGGCTTGAGTGCACAGCCAGTTCATAGCCTGGACAGTGCTCCATCTATTTCACCTGTACAGCCACCAGAAACCCTGCTTCCTCCTTGGCCATGGTGCTGTAGTGCCCACAGCTTGTCTCCCCAGGCAAGGAGGATGCTGGAGGCCCCAGACCTCTGAGTCTGAGGGGGCAGTCTCTGTACTGGGAGAAATCCTCCCTTTACAGTGCAGCTGCTTGGAGGGAAAGGGGTCATGAGAAGTAAGTACCTTTCTGACTCCATCAGACTCTGGTGAGGAGCTAGGGCACAGGTCGCTATTCCTTGGGACAGCAAGAATGGGTCTAAAAATTTCGCAGCCACCCCACGGGCACCCTTCCTACTGAGACCAGCCTCCACCTCCTCCCTGTGCCTCCTTGCACAGTTTTTATCTAGCTTTGGGGTCACAGGTATATACCACAAGCAAAATCACAGCTGCTGTACTGGGACCACAGAAGAATAGAGCCTGTCCCCTATCCTTGCTTAGGATTGGGGACTTCAGACGCTGAGCAAAGGGCCCCAGGAAGCTTTTTACATGTAAGGCACAGGGATGCCAAGGGAGGGGAGTGTTACAACAACTTGAGTGTGGGACCCACACAGCCTGGTTTCCACCTTACACTGCTTGTTTCTAAGTGCGCTGATACAGTCTTCACAAAGGCTTGTTTCTATGCCCGCCCTTCCTGGGTGCCCACCCCGTCTCTTCTCTCCTCAGCAAGGGTGTTATTTAGCTTAAAATAACCTTGTGGTTGATAGCTTGCGCTTACAAGCTACAGCATCTGGCTCAATGACCGGCTTTTCCCAGGTCTCCACATCCCCTACTGTATCAGGGTTGTCGGAGCCAGGAAGACCACCAGAAGAACCATGGCTAGCTCAGAGAGAGAAGCAAACAGGAGCAGGGCCTCTGTGGTAACGGTGTGACCCATTACCAGGAGGTGGCCTGCCTGCCCCATTCCCAAGAATACACAACCCAAACTGTAGCTGCAATTCACCAAAATGACCTGGAGTGGTCCTGAAACACCATAGACAGCAAATGGGAAGACCGACCCACCGTCTCGAAGAAGCAGCAGAAACTGTCAATAGGAGGTGCTTGCCCCAAGCACTGCCAGCTCTACCGGTTCAGATAAGGCCACTTTCCCACAGTCTCTCTGCCTCCACCAGCTTGACTGCCTGGCCCATTTTCTGAGGGGCTTGTCCCATAACTGGGGCATGGGTAGAGCACCCTGATTAGACAAGCCTGGGCTCTTCCACCCCAGCTCTTGCCATCCTCGCTAGGTGGCCTAAACAGAGAAACCCCACTTTTTTAAACCTCATGAAGTCTGACAATTCCACTTAGGACCATGCAGTGTTTAAGGCCTGTGCCAACTTATTTGCCTATTTGCTTGGCAAACACCCAAAAAGGCTGATCTAGCTGATGGAGCTACCCAGCACCAACCTGAATATCTGGCCGCACTTGCCCTCGTACAGGAAGAAGGACCAGCTGCGGGCTCAGCCATACCCTATCTCACCAGTGTTAGGGATGAACAACCCCCCCCCCTCCTCAGTCGGCCTCAGTGTTGCCATTTCTGAAATGAGGATGAGCCCGGCTCCTCACAGTGCTACTCAGATGTGACAAAACCTCAGGCCAGGAATTTGGCACCAGATGGACCTCATAGAGTGAGTCCCCTGTGTCCCTGTGACCGCAGGCTCCCCAGGGAGCAGGAGGTGAAATGAGGTGATGGCTCCAGCTAGACCCACTGAGACAGGAAGGGGCCTGCTCAGAGGCACGTGAAATGGCTGCAGCTGGTGTCACCTACCTTCATTCTAGATGCCCCTGGTCCACAGAGAGCCTCATTGGTCTTGCAACCTACTGTCTATTTCACCGGGTGACAGGAGAGCGTGCCCATGTCTCACTAGAGACTACCCAGGCAGAGAATCCCGCGGGTGCTGGAATCTTCCCATTATGAACCTGAGACTTGTCCCCGTCCCTACACCCTGCCTTTCTCCGGAGAGAGTCCTGTGCTGCACGCCGGGAACCCGGTCCCTGGCTCAAGGGGTTCAGAGTAAAACTTCTAAGGCCCTACCAGTGAGTATGCTGGAGGTCACGGGACCTCGGAATATCCCGCGTCTTCTTGGCCACTCAGGGCCATTCCCTCGGGGAGTCCTGCCGGAGATTCTGGGTCAGAACCCGAGAGGAAGCTACGCAGAGCGGTAGGGACAGGGGCACGCCGGTGGAGGTCACTTACTGTGTCCGGGACAGGACGCCTTAGTCCTGGCCCTGGCCAGGGCACAGCCTGAAATAATCTCAGGCTCCGCCCGGGCTCCGCCTGCCCCACGGGCTGCAACCGCGGAAAACCCGCGGGCGGAGGCCAAGGACCCCGGCAAGTTCAGAGCTGGGGGCGGGGCCGAAACGGTAGAGAGAGGGGCGGGGTCGCTTCGTTGTTCCCAACAGCCTGGAAAAGCGTGGCAGAGCTGGCTGAGCGTAGCCCGAGTATGTGCGCGGCGCGAGCAAGGGTATCAGGGGGACCACAAGCTCCGCCAAGCGCGGGGGCCATTGTTTCACGACGGTCTCTGATTGGCTGCCAAGCAGCGGCACACGCCCAGAGTCGCTGTTCCGCGTCACACAGTCAGCACCTACTTAGGTCTGGGGAGCTCCCTGTACCACTCAACGCCGCGGCCACGTGCTGTTACCACGCTGAGCACCACTGAGTCCATGGAAGCCTGGAAGACAAGCTTCCTGAAGGAGGCGTCCTAAAGCAGCAAGCAGCGGGGCACACCGCCCGTACTGGGACCTCTCAAGGCATCTCCTTACCAAACCTTGAGTGTTAGGGAAGGCTTCATCTTTACCCAGAGGTCACACAGGCAGAGATGACACACACCCCTCAGTGAGCCTCCCGCGGGGGCTCCCACTGGCAAGCTTTCTCAGGCTGGGTTTGGGCCAGATCCTCAGAATTCCCTCCTGCAGGCCTTATCTCAGGATCTGCTTGGGGAGGGTGGGGTTGTAGGCTAGAGTAGGAAGCGGGGTGCTTCACCCCTTAGGAATTTCTGCCCCCTGGAAGATGGGCTCACTCAGGAATTTCCCCCGCTAGACACCAGTTTCGTTTCTTTTCTTTCTTTCTTTCTTTCCTTTTTTTTTTTTTTTTTTTCTTTACTTGGAGTTCGGCTCCTCCCCGTCTTTTGTTTGGGTCCTCTTTTTTTTCCCCTCACAGCCTAAGCTGAACTTTGAAGGGAGAAGAAGGGCAGCTGAGTAGGGGTTATGTTTAGGGGTTGTCCCTGGACACTCAGAACTTCCTCTTCCTCCTGGGAGCAGTGGCCAAGTTAAGACGCTCCTCCATCCTATCCCTAGGCAGACTGTAGAAGGCGAGTACAGAAAGTCGCTGGGCATGGTGGTACACACCTTTAATCACAGCACTAGGGAAGCAGAGCAGACAGACTCTCTGAGTTTGAGGCCAGCCTGGTCTACATAGCAAGTTCCAGGTAGGCAAGACTACACAGTGAGACCCTGTCTCAAAAACAAACATAAAAGTCAGGTGCCACCTATTCTCCCAAGGTCCTAATGGGTGACATTTTCAAATTAGCCCACAGAGCTCAAACTGGGGTTTATTGCCTCTGCTCCACAGGGCACCCAAAGGAGACCAAGAACTTAGGGTTTCACCACACTTATCCAAAAACAAAAAGGACGGAAAACCAGGAGTCCTAGCCTACCACCTCCTGGCTGCTTCTTGATACAACCTCACTAGAGTCTCCCCAACCTCTGCTGTATCCATCCAGTTCCTAATTTCAAACAGGCTAAGGAATGACTGGGAAACTCCACAGGTAGGGCTGAGAGAGGGAAGTCAGGCCTTCAAAAACCCGCATCTGCTCGGAGCCTCTGGGCTCTGTGGAATTTGGATGTTGAACTGACAATTTTGTCCCAAGATGCCCACAGTAACTTCCTCAGAGCACAGCCAGGGTTGGCAGGAACTAGTACCACCCATCTTGTGTGAGCACTTAGCGCTTCTCTGTCTGAGTTCAGGGTGAGGGCCAAAGGTCCTATGTGAAGTTTCCAACAGAAAAGAAATGTGGAAATTGGGCTATGTGGATAGTCAAGGGCCACAAATCATGTGGTCCTCAGGGACCTAGGTAGTTTAACGTCTCTCCATAGTCCACCAAAGGACAGCTTAGATGGATCCTACAGGAGAGAAGCAACTGGAGCAATTTGCTTGAAAAGCTGCTGTCCCAGCTCCAATTCCTCCTGGCAGCTTGAGAGTCAGAGCAACAAAGTCTCCTAGTCCTGCACAGGAGTCCTGCTGGTCGGTGCCTGGCTGGGAGCCGTGGCACACTGCCTGCACATAGCCCAGGGTTCCTTCTCGTTTGTTTGTTTGTTTGAGGCAAGAGCTTTATAGCCCAGGCTGGCCTTGAACTCAAAACCCCTCTATTCTATATCCTGGGCACTGGGATAACAGGCTTGCACCATCATGGGCTCCTCTTTTTATGTGTTTAATTATAATATATACACAACACAAAATGCACCATTTTAACAGTGCTGGGCATTCTATCTATCACCATTAAGTGCAGTGTATGTGTGTTTCTAACTATCAGCATTCTGTGCAGTGTGTGTGTGTTTCTGTGAGTATGTACACGTGAGAGTGCAGATGCTCAGTAGTATAGCAGAGGGCCTAAGTTCCCCAGAGCGGAGTTACAGGCAGTTGTGCGGCTGCTCAATATGGGTGCTGGGAACTAAACCTGGGTGCTCCTCAAGAGCAGCAGGTGCTCCTCAACAGCTGAACCATCTCTTCAGTTCCACAGAACTCTTTTTATTTTGCCCTCCAAAACTGAACCATGGTCCCCATTATACAACAACTGCCCATTCCCTTCTACCCCCTTGTCCTTTTGAGACTGTGTCGTGAACTGCATGAAGGGAAAAAGGCTAACTCTTGCCTTTACCCAAGAGTGGACCTGATGTATCCAAGAGTCTGGGTCTTTCCTATTCTAGGAGTCCAATCTAGAATATGTCCAGTCAAAAAGAAGTCCAATTTAAGAGTCCCAATTTAAAAAGAGAGTCCTGAATCGATGTTGTTCTTGCTATATACTGAACAACACAGCAAATGTAACAAACAGAAATGAGCAACTTTGGTCCTAATCTTTTGCAGGAATATTATAAAGGAGAAAAAGAAAATTTTCCTGGCCCTACCTACTCAGACTAGCATACAAAACCACAAAGAGGTATTATTAAACTGTAACCACAAGTCACTTCCAACATATTTTGTAGGGGGTTGGGTAGGCTTGGTGGAGGGGTAAACAATGCCTTACTGCTTCTGGCACGTGGTCCTAGACCTGGTCACCATAACCGGTGCACACAGGTTGTCTTGAGTCAAGGGCATGCATGGATTTGTTGTGCAGCAGTTTTCTCAATATTAAAAACTTCAGCTGTGGAGTGAAGCCCCAAGGACATCCATAATGTGTTTCCAGGGAGGTAAAACAACAAGGTGGTCTACGAAGAGGTGACGCATTCCATCTAGCAGCAAAGGTGATTAAGATGGGAAGTAAATAACTCAGAATAGCTTCAGGAAGTCCCTAAAATGACCCTATTCACTAGGTTTCTCTTTTTTGTTTGTTTGTTTTTTGAGACAAGGTTCCTCTGTGTAACAGCCCTGACTGTCCTGGACCTAGCTCTTGTAGATCAAGATGTCCTCAAACTCACAGAGATCCACCTGCCTCTGCCTCCCGAGTGCTGAGATTAAAGACGTGCGCTACCACCACCCGGCTGGCTTCTCCTCCTTTAAGCTGTATATTAGCTGTGAGAACTGCTAAGTGAGGCCCTCAGATAAGCTGAGCAGCCTAGAAGATGCCTACAGTTGGGCCTCTTGGGGAAATCAGACCAGTCAAACGGCCTGGAAGAAACAAGCCAGCCAGACCTGCTTCCAAGAGTCTCAGACCACCTGAGCTACCTGTAAATGACACTCTCAGCCTTTAGTGACCTGCCTGTAAGTTGCTCAGTAAGAGCTCCGGGTCCCACTGTTATGAACCATCAGCCATGCTGGTGATGGCTTCTGGTGATAAGGGCTACCCTGAGTCATTTTTCCTCCTCTAAGCAACCCTTCACCCATACACCTGTATGTAACCCCAATAAAACTCACTGGTTCACCAAGTTGGACTTAATGTGTACTTTGGTCTGTTCACTGGTAGAGTGGGTGGACATTTGTCCCCAGGAATCGTGTCCTGCAGCAGTCACAAAGGAGAAGTAGGGTGGGAAAGATCGTATAGCCAGAGCTGCACATTCAGCTGAGCTTGCAAGGCTTGGTTATGTTGGCAGTCCAAAGTAGAGTAAGATAGACTGTATGATTTTTTCTAGAGGCGGGTGAATCCTAAGCAGGTTGGATGTGCAGTGTGGAAGCAGGAAGGGTACACTGTAGCAACGATCTCAAAGCACAGCGTAACTTGGTTTCGGGTTGGGTGAGACGCTGATGTGTAATGGCGAACTCCAAACTGCATTTCTCCGAGAAGCTGCTCTCACGATTGTCTTAGTTAACACAATGTACTAGAGAGGCCTAGCAACGTGCTGATAGGGTTAGGATTTTCTGCCTGCTCAGGTCCTAATTACACTCGGCCCTATGGATGGACCATATTTTGTTGTCCTCAACGGGCACATTGGCCGCTGTGTATAGTGATGCGGGGACACTGAACTCAAAAGCTCCATTTGGGTTCCAGCTTCCGGTTCATGTGGCTGAACGGTTGACTTTCTGACCTCTAGAGCTGCTAGACCAGGCTCTGAGTGTTTTGTGGTCGATAAATTTCACCACAACCATATGAATTAGGTGCTGTCTAACATCCCTTTGCACGATGGGACTGAGGCACAGATGTGCCCTGCCATTTGTCAGGATGGAGCGGTCCTCTGCTGCCCTGCTCCTCCGGGGCTACTCCTTATTTGAAATACAGCTTGATATATTTAGGCCAGGCACAGGAAAGCCAAGAGTTCCCATGGGGAAGCAGGAGGCACTGTCGTTCCTTTTGTCAAGGGGTGGGGGACACCCCTCAATTACTGTATTCAGTCAACTGATTAAACTGTCATGGGCAGCACAAAGAGCCAGCCCAGCTCTGGGCAGAGAATAATACAGGTGGTGCGTTGTTGACTTTCTCTCTATTCATTCCCTGGTTGGCTGAGAAAGTAGCTGGAGGAAGCTCTCAAAAGGAGAAGCTAAAAACAGAAGGCCAGTATTGTGGGGCAGAGTTCAGCAGGTACAAATGTCAGGCAGGGGGGTCAGGTAGGTGTGGAAAACCTGGCCCAGGGGAGAGGCTGCACCAGCTGGTGTGGCTGGCCACCTTGATCACAAGAGCCATGCTGGTGTGGGGTGCACTCTCTGGGAAGGAAGACTAAGGCATTCCAGGGTGTCTTCCTGTCCTCCCCTGTCACTGGACCCACTTCCCCCTCTGTGATGACTTGCATTTCCCACTGGCCTGACCTTGACTGTCAGGACAATGGTTTCTTCCTTTC